CATTGTTCTTGCCCTGCTAGATAATATTTCATCTTGTAGTGGCCTGATCAGTGAGAAATACGAAGCTTGCCTACTCTTTCTATTGAGCACAACTGTACTGGGTACCAGTCAGGTAGGGAGCGAGGGAGGTCCACAGGCAGGGCAGAGGTGATCAGGTGAGCACAGGCACCCCAGGAATGTGCCACACTAGAAACACATCCACAGGCCAAAGAGGATGTCAAAGGTACCCCAATATGAGCAGTGGCTTTTGGATCAGAGCTTGTACTGGAGATTTCACATGCGCCTAATTCTGCAAATTATCTACGCACAGCATGTGTATGCACACAATAAACCCATACGATGCAATGTGGCACAAACAATTAAAAGTTCTTTTCAAAGTGGAAATGCAAAATAGAATGAATATCTGTTTTCTATAAATGAATCAAGCCATCTGCCTCCCTCGAGCAGCAGCAGGAGGACCCGAAACAGCAGAAACACAGCAGCCTCTGGTGTTAACAATCTATTCTCAAATCTCATGCTCCACATTTCCCCGGCAAACAAGGCTAAAAATACAAGACATGCAACAAATAGTCTCTGGGGATCTGCCATTCCATGGATGGCGTACTCGGTAATATTTTTTGTTGAAATTCAAGATTGGGGGGTCGGGGAGGAGGGGAAGGCCAGCTATCATATTAGACTCTGGCATTGAGAACTGTGAATGCAATCTTAACGTACATGTAGCTGAATGCTGAGAGGCTGTTTCCACACAACATAAATCTTAGAGGCACTGGAATACATTTCCAGATTTATTGAAGCTACTCTGAAGTCTTGATCGTTAGAAGCATGCCACTTGAGCATTTTTTTGTCACCAAAACACCAGGGCCATAGTCTTTTTGGCGGAGGTGCAGTTTGGATAACTGTCTACCGTAGAGTCTGGTCTCAGACTGAGCAGGTATAAAGCAAGGCATCACACACACACAGTGATCCGAGTGAGCATGGCTGGCAGTATTTCACCTACGGCCCTTTCTTCCTGTCACACACCCTAGGATAATGGCAGCACTTACCTCATTGAGTTATTCTAAGAATTCAATGAGTTAATGGGTGTGAAGCATTTAGAGTAATGAATGGCACACACACTACAATCACTGCTATTATTTCATATTCAAGCCAAGCTACAAAAGCACCGTCTTTTAAGGACTAGAAATGGTATAAAGAGTGGTAATGACATTATGGTAGCTTTCACGTAAACAGTGACCAGTTGAAAAGCAACGGGTGGGGGCAACAGACAAGTATCTTTACATAGATGCTGTGGCTGAGAAGGACACGGGCAAAGTTTCCATTGCTCCTTACAATGAGGAGTTAGGTCCTAAAAACAATGTTATTGCTGGTCAAGTGGCACTCTGGCACTACCCATGCTCCCTACAGTAACAGAACCACAATTATTGGCACAGAATTAGGAATGAAGGCACAGCTGAACTCAGGACACAGGTGCCTGTCCTTTAATGAGACAACCACCTCCACCCGTCTTAAAAGGTTAGTGGAATAAAGGTTTCTTCCTCCACCTGGCTTTGGAAGTGGCTTAGGTCCCCAGCCTAGAAATTTTGAAAAGCTCAAGGGAAGGTATAAAGTTACATTGTCATCCATGAAACCAATTTATTGATAAACCTTTAAAGCAAGGTTTTATACAGGGTATTTGGTATTGAGAAAAAGTGACCAAACTTACAAATAATGGAACCACGAGGCCTAAACCTGTCCCTCCTACTAAGGTATCATAAGCCCATCTTATCAGGGGTGAGGGTTGTGCACCTGATCCTTCACCATCCTACAAAGCACCACTGAAAGACCCCAGACCGGTCCCTGAAAGACTGGAAGGCAACAAGTGCTGTCAGGTAGCATCCACTTAGAGGAACTCATTCTTTCACAAAAGGGAACTGCTGAAGAGATCTCTGCAAGACACTGTTAGACAAGAGTGCACGCCAGGCAGCACCAGGTCAGAGCGCAAGCACGGACCAGGACGACACCGGAGAAAAAAGCTTTTCCCAAAGGCCTAGGAGGTAAAGGAACAGAATGAGGAAAGGGGAGAAAAGGAGTGGCATGGTAACATTCACTTCCGAGGAAATGACTGTGGACTTAGAACTCCTTGTCCTCAACAGATAAGTGGATTCAGCTACATAAACCCAGCAACTGTTACGCCTGTACAAGAAGGGTGTGATACTCCTGCCATTAACGCATTACTACAAGGAAGATTTCATGTCCCAGTAAAGTTTTAAAAGCCAGAAACCATATGACTGCTCAGCCTCAGATTCTCTTCCTTTAATGACTGGGAGATCTCAGAGTAACCAAGGCAAGAATTGAGATGATATCAGCAGCAGCCATCCTTTCGTTCAAACAGCAAAAAAAATACATCAGTATGACAATATGATGTACATTCAACTAGCACTTAGCAGGTCACAAGAAAAGTTTGAAGCAACCTTTTCAGTTACAAAGTGTTGAAGTACACGGTCATCATGGCACCTATTGCCTTCCTTACAGTCTGCCATCAGGTCGGAGTGTAAATCTGAAGAGGCCATTCATGCCTACAAACAGAAGTGGAATATTGGTCCTGGGGGCACCAGGAATGTCTACAAGAGCCCCTCCCCCTTTGTCCCAATAGCTTCTGACCTTACACGCAAAGTTATTCATCAGAAACCACTCTAACATCTATTGGTTTTTACATTAAGTAGGAGGTGCAGAGAAGCAAGCAGGTGAAATGACCTCAGGAAACAGGTGATACATATTGTGAAAATGCCCCTGAACTCTCGACTGTTCTCCTGCCATCCAATCCTGCATAGCCTATTGGTAGGGAAGGAAGGAATATCTTGGTTCAAATCAAGAAGTCTTGTGGAACAAAAACCATTTACTTGAGTAAAGGAGAAAAAATGTGACCATACTGTGTGCAGCCAGAACACTGAGCAAACAAGCCACACCTGAACTCAAATGGCTACTTCCCTAGGCTGGGAGCACTTCAGTAACATCGGAACACACGCTTTGCTTTGAAGAGGTCAATCACGCCTTCCTGCCCAAAGCCAGGTGCACCGTGGCTTCCCAGGTTTTCACAGGCTGCCTGGGGAACATTCACTACATGAGGAATCTCACAGCTGCTCAAGACACAGTGCGCCCCAACCCCCAGGAAGAACAGATTTGCAGCTCCACTTGCATGTGTCTGGAGCATACACTGTGATGCGTGTGAAGCATTTGTTTTGTGAGGGAGCTTGCGGAGTGTACAGTATGTTTTCCAGCAGACCTTTACAGAACAGCTTGCAGACAAGAGGTGCTAGCCTTGGATTCACAGCCAGGCAAACTCCATCCAAGAGGCTCTTGGCAGGTCTGTACATCCCGCTGCCAGCAGGCTTCAGGGCAACTCCACCAGGCCAGTCCCCAGCACCGCTACCTGCAGTCAGTCGCTCTGGAGGTCTCCAACACACCCAGCACACTCCAGAGGAAGTGTGCGCGCGCACACACACACACACGTACGTTTAGGAAAGAAAAGACCCACTCTTCCCCCAGCCCTGCAGATACACAGCAACTCAGCGCTGACTTTGCAAAGAGGCATTCTCCAATAGTAAATTGAATGGCTGAGGCGTATGCTGCTCCCAGCAACAGAGGGAAAACACAAGGTTTCCAGAAGCCAATGTGTGCCATCACCGGGGGCGCATTTCTAGACCGTTCCTGCTTTCCAAAAAGCCTGCTGCTTTAAGGGAAAGGAGGGGAAACGCAACTTTTTCGGAAAATGAAGCAGTGGGCACACGGAGCAGAGTCATAAAGCGGGCAGCTTCTGCCCACCCCTCTCTTCATTCTCTCCAGCATGGCAGTTTTAGACACATCACTGGCCCTTACTCAAAGAGACGTTGGTTCTTTTGTGTTGGTCCTCAACCCTTTGTACTCGCCTCCAGGCTACCAGAAAATCAGAGCCGGTGAGCGAGCGGGGAAGCAAGCGGAGCGCGCTGGGTGCGGCGGTCAGCTCCATTCCCCCTTGCTCTCACCAGGCAAGCGTTAGGCAAGTCATTTACCGCAATTACACGTTTAAGCCTAACGGATGGCGCCCTTTAAGGAGAGGATTTCAAAGGCAAAGCCACGGGATACCGACAGCTAGGGCGCAAACTGCCTGCGAGCACCTTCAAAGCAAGTACACGGATCTATCTTAAGTTGATACTCCCTTGTCCTCGCTCAAGGTGGAGCTGAAAGGCTGAACGCAGTTGCTAGACTCCACAGAACCCGGGGCAAACAGGGCTGCGCGTCGAAGGGCGAAAGCGGTAGAGGTCTCCCCGCTGCCTGACGGAGCCGGGCTTCCTGGCTGCAGTCAGCCCTTGGATAAGGAGCCTGGTGAACAGCCGCTTTCCGGACCTCAGCACTGCGGGGCGCCGCGACCCCAGGATGGTGTCCGCAGCTCGCCCGGGCTCAGGGAAAGCCCAATGCCGGTTTAGACTGCTGACTACGGACGCCCAAGGGGTGCTGCGCTTGGTGCAGAGCCAGGGGACTTCAGCCTGAGTGTTGCTCCCCTCAAGGGGAAAAAACGCCCCCCTTCTATACTACCCACCGCCTAGAGACGGACGCCCCTCACCTGGGTTCTTTCTACACCCCCCAAGAACTCTGGGGCGCTACGACGGACACCTGTCCACGGACCAAGCCGTCTTGGAAGGAAGTGGAAAGGACGCGGGAAGGCGAGAACGGAGCGACGCCGGGGCTCCTCCAGGCTGCAGCAATTGGGGAGGGTTCGGAGAAGGGAGCAGGCGAGCGAAGCGAAGGGTAGAGGGGCTTGGGTCACAGCAACCTGTCGGATTGCGGCGAATCGCAAACTCGACTGGAAAGCAGCGGAACCCCTTTGCGGGTCCTCCACTTGATTCGCATCCTGCTGGGCTCGGCGCACGGAGGGACGCAGGGAGCAACTTGGACAACCAAAGCCACGAGTACGGGTCCCGTTCGGTCTCGCCGGCGCTCCCCGGCCCTAGCCCCCTCAGCCTCCCGCTCAACCCCGCACTAACCTCGGGCAGCCGCAGCCCCCGCTGCCCAAAAGCAGAGTCCCAGCCACGGGATCCACCGGCGCGCCCTGGCACTGGCTCCTCCTGCAGCCGCTGATCTCTCCATGGTCCTGGACACAGCTGCTCTTCCACGCCCCCGAGCTCCCGAGAGTCGCCCTGCGACGCAGGGGCCGAGACGAGTGGGTCCCGGGGAGGGGAGACCGTTCCTCCACCGTCGCTCCCTACAGCAGTGGGGCAGGACGTTCCGGGCCGCCGCTGGCTGCGCACCCAAGGAAGGCGCGCGTCCCCATAGCCTTCCCCCAGACGCCGCTGCAGCCGCTGCCGGAGTGGTCCAGCCGTCCCCGCCGCGCGGCGGCCGGCCCCGGACTAGCCAGAGGAGCAGCGAGTCCGCATCGCTAATGAGACCCCCGCGGCCGCCCCTTCTCCGCCCCTCCGAGCCGCAGCCAATGAGCCGAGCGGGGCGGGATTGCGGGAGGGGCGGCGGCGCAGGTGAGCCCGCGGCGGCCGCACGTGCCCCCACCTCCCCTCACGCAGGTTGCTGCACTAGCCGCACCTGGGTGCGCCCCGAGCCGCGGCGGGCCTGGAGCAGGGCGTGGGCAGCCAGGCACGCGCCTCGGGATGGTGGCGTGGGGCCGCCGGGCCTCTTGGAAGACAACGCGGAGCCGGAAGATGTGGGCATCCGGGTCGCCTGCTGGCAGCTGCTAGAAAACCTCTGTTGTGTGCAACTTTGAATCCATTTCCAAAGTCCTGCCTTTCAGATAAAGCAAAAAGCGGGGAAAGCATTCCAAATAAATGTCAAATGGGAGGGATAAAAAAAAAAATAAAACAATGGGATACATCCTTGTTTGCACTGAGCTAGCTATGCCTGCAGGAAAGTGAGGGGGTGAAGAATCGTGAACACGGGGGTAGATCAAGGGACAGGGGTCTGTTTGTGTTTTGATTTTGTAGTTTCGCTTTGCAGGGTCCTCAGCCAGAACTCCCGGGCTTCCTACATCAGTTGTTCTGTTCATTTGCCCTCTATTTGCGTTCCTTTGAGGCTGAGCTCTGGGAAGTGGCTTTTCTAGTGAGGTTTTGTGAGGTGAAGACAGACACCAAAAGGATACTACTGTAACAATATGGGGTGGTGGGACTACGGGAAGGAAAAAGAGGGAGGGAGGAAGAGGAGGAAAAGGGAAGAATCCCTACACCCACAAAACTGCATGACAGAAAACAAAATAACACTTGTACCAAGAAAGGCAGCCTTTTGGTTTTGTTGGCATGTTTGTTTGTGTGGGTTATGTCTAATATTGTTCCTTCTGTGGGAGGAGTAATTTTTGTGGGCTTGGGGTAGGTCCCTGGGTTTCAGACGTGGATGGGGATGATGGAATCCAATTGCCTGTTCTCTCAACTGCCTCCTTGCTTTCCCTCCTCCACTGCCCTCCACTTGAGGGCCAGAACTCAGCTGACTCCTTTTTGCCTTGGCTGACCCCAGGAGCTAAGAATATCTTCATCTGAAAGACATCCAACATAACACCCCTCCTGCCCAGCCTCACGGTTCATTATCAACACGTGTTACCCTTATGTTAAAAAATATATATTTCTTTTTATTGGAAAGTCAGGTATACAGAGACAAGGAGAGACAGAGAGGAAGATCTTCCGTCCGATGATTTACTCCCCAACTGAGTGCAAGAGCCAAAGCTGAGCTGAGCTGATTTGCTGATTTGAAGCCAGGAGTCTCTTCTGGGTCTCCCACATGCGGGTGCAGGGTCCCAAGGCTTTGAGCCCTCTCCAACTGCTTCCCAGGCCACAAGCAGGGAGTTGGATGGGGAGTGGGCCGGCAGGGATTGGAACTGAAGAGCATATGGGATCGCGGTGCTTGCAAGGAGAGGACTTAAGTTGCTAGGGGCCATGTGTAACTCTTTAAAAATCCATTTATCTGAACCAAGGGCTACCTACTCTCCAAACACCTTTCTCCAGGGAATAATCAGTTGCAGGTGAGGTAATTTTGTTCCGGGGAGGTAATTGCACTAACTGGATGATAGGCAGAGAGATTGATTCCTTGATCAGTCAGCGCCATGCCTCCACCGTCCCCCTCAGTGCCTCCACCACGTGAATGTCAGTGCAAGGAGTCCATTGTTGCCTGGACTTTCTTGCAGCTCAATAACAGGTGTGGGGGCCAGGCAGGGATGCCAGGCAGGGAGGCCAGGCAGGGATGCCAGGCAGGGATGCCAGGCTCTAGGGGATGGAAGCTTCACAGCCAAGACTGATGTGGGGCTGCCAAGGGACTTGCCTGGAAATTTCTTTAGAATCTCGGTGAATGAGGGTTTTGTCCTTTTCCTCCAAGAAGGTGAATTGAGAATTAATCTACCAAATATGCTTTACCTGTCTCCTGGAAAATGCTCATTCATCGCCTGACTTTCCTTATTCCTCAAGACTATGTGTCGATCCTGTCACCAATGAACACTTTCTTGAGAAAGGAAAAGGGCTGACGGCCTTTCCAAGGTAGCCTTGCTACTATCCCAGCAGGGGGCCAAAAGTAACACGAGTTTTATTTTTTGAAAAGTGATCTAAGAGATAAACCGATTAATCCTAGGTTCACAATTCAAGCAAAATGAGAAGGACAGGTAGGAGAGTAAGGAACTCAACAGGCTCAGAGCGCAGTGCCTTGCTCAAGGCGCTCTTGCCCACACGTGTTTAAATCAGAAGAGCAAACCACCTGAGATTGATGAGATATAATTATCCTTATTCTTGATTAGCAGATAAGGAAAGACGGTGAAAATAAGAAAGTTTGTAATTCTGAACGCAAGGAAACTATTGTATGTTGAGTAAGACTTTCTAGAGATTGAACTTTGATTTCATTTACTTCAGATGCGTTTAACTGCTGGGATGAGAGAAGTTAGATCGCCTTCTTATTCATTCTGTTACCCTCAGTTGATTAATTACATGCTACATACATATTAATTATGTCTATGCATCCCCTATCCATGTGATTTGGACAGTTCAGACACATACGATGTGTACACCACCATTGCAGTAGACACATTCACTAGGAAAATATATTGGAGAGTTGAGAATTTCTGTAACTGGCCTGAGAATCCAGGCAGAGCAAGCGTCTACCTCACTCTGACAGGAACAAGCTCTATGGACTGGGGCAAGCAAATAGCTCTTGTTACCCCAACTATAAAATAGCCATGTTGGGGGCAGGCATTGTGACACAGCCAGTTAAGCTGTGACTTGCTAGCCCCAGTGTTCCATTTCACAGCGTTGTTTCTAGTCCAGCTTCCCTACCTGTAATCCAGTTTCCTGCTGATGTGCCTGGGACAACAGCAGACAATGCCAAAGTCCCATGGAGGTGGGGTGGGGGAACAGGATTGAATTCTTCATTCTTGGCTTCAACCTGCCATGCCGGAGAGAAAGAAAAGATAAGTGGGCAGGAGCTGCCTGCTTGATGATGCTGCTCTGTGTGCCCATTGCTATTTCATTTCCTGAAAAGCTGTGTGACTTTTTTTTGCGCCATAATTTACCAAACATTCTGGAATGAATGGACAGTTTTAGTTATAACTACCCTAAGACTCTAACAGCTACCCTAAGCTTCTAGGGGCTTGTCGTCAGCACAGAAAACCGAAAAGTAATCTTCCTACATTTGGGATGCCAATCCAGCCTTTCTCTTCCCCGAAGCGGGCTGTCATTTCTGAAAAGCCTGCTAACAATCTATTTCAGGCTCTGTGACTGCCGGATGTTTCTGATAAAAGCTACTGTCTCTTTCAATCACATAATTATGATAGTAAATAAAGGAAGACTAAAACTCAACTGGACAAAAGGGCAACAGCTGGCAGCTTCAATTGGTGAACCTGACAATACAATTAAATGAGATAGTTTACATCTGGTTTTCCCACTGGGAAGATGCTGTAGCAGTCCTTTCGCCCATGACAGTCTTATTCAATCAGAGAGCTGCATTTCAGGAACGCATGTGACTTACAGAGAGTGTGCTGAATCCCGTTCACCACAGTGAACTCGTGATCCAGCTCCTGATTCACGGACCTGCTGGTAACAGGGACCTGCGAGCACATCACCGGTGATGTTCTACCTGCGAACCACAACCCCAGGCAGCAACCTGCCCCGATAAAGGTGACATGTTATTGTTTGTTAAGTAAACATGCTCTCACACAGAAAATTAGACCAGTCTGTTTTAGAGATTGGGCTCTGAAGCAGCGCTAAAGTGCAAAAATCCAGTACGTTTGCTTGAGGGCAGCAGGGCACCAAGCGATGACTCTCAGCTAAACAGGAAGTGCGCCTTCTCCACTTGGTACCCTGGGAATCCTTCTGGAATCAGGCATCATGGAGTTTCAAGCACAGCTGTGACACAGACAAATGCAATAACTTAAAAATAATAACAGGAAACACAATGCTTTGGCAGTAAAATGAATGTGGTCATGCTTTTAAAAAATAATAAATGATGATGAGAAAACATGAGCTATATCAGCCTATAAAAGACATAACCTCTACTAACAGCATCACATGAAAACTGTGAGCTCTTACTTCAGCGTATAGCACCAGAAATGGAACAATTTACATAACCAAGCATTTAGTGGTTTCTGGGAGAGTAAGAGAAAATACTGTGACAGAATATGCCATAATTCCTATGGTGGAATGGAGTGTGGCAAATGTTTGAAGGGTGTGTGCTTATTGTGGGTTTTTGCTGCCTACTTTGCACTTAGCTCAGTTTGCTATCCCACTTTGGGATATCATTCATTCATTCATTCATTGGTCACTGTGCCCACTGGTGGATACAGGGGACAGGAAGAAGATAGCCAAAGATAATTAAAGAGAATTAGTAATTACTGAAGAGTTCAAAATCAAACTCAGCCAAAGAGGAAGGTGGAAGACCAAAGATCTAAAACAAAAATGGGACAAGAAGAAGACAAAACCCGTCATATTCAAGCATCGCTATTTTCTCACTAGTATCGTGAGATCTGGGGATGTCTAATTTCTCCGAAACTGACAAATTCACCTAAAGCAAATTTGAGTGAGGAAAAATGGAGGTACAGGCAGACTTTCCAGGACACAGCATTATGGGGGCCAGAATAATCTGTTTTTACATGAAAGCTACCTATTTCACCCAGTCCG